ATGGCAAACCTAAACAGCATGATAAAAAGTAGAGACATCACCCTGCCAACAAAAGTCCGTATGGTCAAAGCAATGGTATTCCCAGTAGTCATGTATGGCTGCGAGAGTTGGACTATAAGGAAGGCCGAGTGTGAAGAATAGATTCTTTTGAACTATGGTGCTGGAGAAGACTCTTGAGAGACCCTTGGACTGCAAGAAGATCAAATCAGTCAATCCTAAAAGAAATCAACCCTGACTGTTCCCTGGAAGGCCAGATAATGAAACTGAAGCTCAAATACTTTGGCCACCAAATGAGAAGGGAGCACTCACTGGAGAAGACCCTGATGCTGGGAAAGATTGAAGGTCAAAGAAGATGGGGACGGCAAAGGATGAGATGGTTAGACAGTGTCATGAAATTGAGCAAACTTCAGAGGACGGCGGAAGACAGGAAGGCCTGGCATGATCTGGTCCATGGGGTCGCGAAGAGTCAAACTCGACTGTGTGACTGAACAACAACAAACAATATTGCACACATTTATGTCCAGCATAAAAAAACAGCAGTTTATGCCAGACGTAAATGTGTGTGATATCAAACTGACCACTAGAGTGCAAAATACATGTGGAATAGACCTCCCCAAAAAACCTAGGAACTTTCAAGTGAGTAAAATGAGAATGCAGAAAGGCCCTATGTCTGGGTGAAACTCTAGGATTCTCCCAAAACTCTATTGTCTTCTGCTGGAAGTGACAACACCGCCACACCTGTCTGCTCCCCCTAATTCCTCTCAAGGGATGCCAGAGTCATTTTCTAACCAATGAGAGCTGCCAGGGGGCCTACTCCCAACTGCAGCTTCTGCCAATGAGTGAGGAAGTTACCTTCACTCCTCCTTCCCTGGTGTTGCCAGTGAGGGAAGGAGTCTCCATCCCCTTCATCCCCTGCTTTCCCTTTGCAGTTTGCTTGGTGCCCTTTGCAGTTTGCTTGAAGCACGTGGCTCAGTCATTTTCAAGCATTAGCCTGCTAGCTTGTGCCAGACAACCATCGAGTCCTCTGAGCACATAAGGTGGGAGCTTTTCAGGGCTTCATTTTTGCTGGGGGAGTCTTCAAAGGTGGTTGGAAAAAGAAGGGGTGGAAATGTGGCTGGAAACAGCTTTTGTTAATGAGGGAAGGTCTTCCTCTCCAGCTTTCCCCTTCCAGTTTGCTAGGTGCACAAAGCAGTTGCTTCCGTGGGCTCTGAAGCAGATGGCCCAGTTAGGGTTCCCAAGTACTTACCGCGATCCGGCGGGGGAAACATGCTCCCCATCTGGACCATTTCTCCCTGTAACGCACCATGCCATCGCCAGGAAGTGATGCTGGGCGACGCTCTGGCAATGGGGCTGAAAACTCGATGGTACCATCGAGTTTCCAGCCCCATTACCAGAGCGTCGCCTGGCATTACTTCCTGGCAATGGCATGGTGCGGCGCATCTGTTGTCCCCGCGGGAATAATCCTGCAAAGACATCTGTGTCCCCCGCCGAATCACGGTAAGTACTTGGAAAGCCTGGGCCCAGTCCTTTTTGTGCCTTAGCCCACCTGCTTGTATCAACTGTCAAGTCTCATCATAAGCAGCACATAAAGTAGGAGGGGTTTTTTGGCTTTATTTTTGCCAAGGAGGGAGGTGGTTAGAAATGGGGGGGGGGGAGGCGGCAGCAGCCTCTGCATTTTGCCTCTCACTTGTAATTCTGGAAGATCTCTAGGCCCCACCTGGAGGCTGGCAACCCTATTGCATTCCAGCCTGAGTGCCTGTAGCTATCCTTGAATCCTTAGCAAGTTACATGGAGCCAAACCAGAGCAGGGCTTTGGGCTTTTGAGGGCGGATGAGGTCAATGGAAGATAATGTGAATCAAAGGGGCCATACATCCAAGAAAATACACATTCTTCTGTGAGCAAAGCCTATTTCTTGCTCAGAGGAAGAAACAAAAACACTTTTATAGCTTGGCTCAAACACATGGCGGGTGGGGGGAGATTCCCATCAGGCACACTGCAACCCAGGAAAGTGGAAGTGAGGACAAATAATGGGGAGGGGGTCTTCATGCTCTTTACCAGGGTAAACAAACTGAAATGGAAAAGGGAGTGGTTAAAGAAGAAAAAGTAGAGCCAAAGGAGAGGAACCAAGTGGAATGGGTATGGCTACAGGAGGAAGGAACTGTACTAAAGGAAAAAGGGGTCCTGGTTATAGTTTTTTGCCCAGAGCCCACAAAAACCTTTAACTGGCCCTGGATATTGCAATCACCCACATTTTGCACCAGTCGGCCTAAGCAATGCACTTTGCAGAGGTTGTGATTTCTCTCTCTTTCTCTCTGTGCCACAAATTCACTTGCTCTGTAGCTTGGCTCACTTCCTTACAAATTTTGATTGGGCAGGCTTTGCGCTCACTGTTGCCAATTTACAAACTGTCCTTTTCACTTGTGAAGTCAGTATTCTAGAAAGGTTTCTGGAGTTATTCATTTTCAGTTCTTGCCTTGTGCTAACATATGGATTAGGCTGAACATGGACTGTGTTAAACAAATCTGTTGTTGGTTGTGTACTGATCTGACTATCAAGCGTATGTTGTAGAAACTGAACTAGGAATGAGGACAGCCAGGTTCAGATCTCTGCATCCCATGACATTTACTGAGCAATCTTCTTGGATCAGCCATTCTCTTTCAGCCTAACCTATTTCACAGGGTTGCTGTGAAGGTAAAATGAACAGGGGAGAATCATGTATACCATGTTAAGCTCCTTAAAGAACAGAACTGTGAAAAATATATATATAAAGGCATGAAGCTCATAGGTAGGCCCTGCATCTTTCCCACCCTGCCCCACCAGATTCCATCCACATGCATACTAGGCTCTTCCCCAGCTCCAGCCCCATATACTAGGGTTGTCAACAATGCTCCCTCTAAGCTGTGGAGCCTTGTGAGCAAAAATTCTACTTTGTGAGCTACTGGCATTAAAGTTGTGAGCAAGCAATTTGGCTACTGCATAAATTAATTCACTCTGGAGCCATCCTTCATGAGCAAAGACAAAAATGTGCTGTCAATTTCACTCAGCCATAACCAAAGAATTGTTGTCATCTTTATTTCCTCCTAATTTTAGTTCTAGTAGGGGGAAAAGCTATTCAGTATCTACTAAAGGATACTAATCCTAATATTACAGCTTTAGTGGCCAATTTTCTTGCCGAAGCAGTCAAAGTTAGATCTATTCTCATAAAGGAATGATTCATATTGTTTATTATGTTCCCAAATATCCATACTGTGTTATTGTATATCTATGTATCTTACTGCTATGCCATTAAAGGTATTTGACTTTGACAAATTTGTGTGAGCCAGAAGCTAAAAACTGTGAGCTAGCTCACACTAACTCAGTCTAGCAGGAACACTGGTTGTCAACATCCAGGTGGCCGTGGCTATCTCTCAGAACCACAAGGGATCTCTAGACTGCAGAGAGTTCCTCTGGAGAAAATGGCTGTTTTTGAGGATGGGCTGTATAGAAATTATCCCTCCACTCCCCCAAACCCTGCCCTCCCCAGGCTCCACTCCCAATCTCCAGGAATTTCCCAACCTGGAGTTGGCAACCCCACATACCAACACCTTCTTCAGGAGTTAGCAATTTCTACTGTGTCATCACTTCACCGATTTCATCCTTCAGTGTTGGGGGTTTTAAGCATCCATGTCTAACATCTTAGACGTACGGGTTTTTTGTTTTGTTTTTTAAAGGGGCGTGTGAAATGGCCCCGGAAGCCGACCCGGAGGGAATCTCGGAAGGCGTACTAGGGCCAGTCACCGGCGTAATCTTCAGGGGGGCGGCGGGGCTTCAGCCCCCACCGAAATTTTTAGGAAGGTGCTCAGCCTCCCCCGGGGGCAGGGGTCTTTTCCTGCCTGAGCAAGGTGGCACTATGCTCTGGAAGTGAGCCCGGGCGCCCCGCCTCCTCCGCTGTCATTCCTGGCCCGCCTGCGGGGAGCCCGGTTCTAGGAAGGGGAGCGCTTTATTTTCCCTTGGCTTGCTGGAGTTCCCAGCGGCTGCAGGAACCTTGAGCAAGCCGGCTCCTGGGGGGGAGGGGGGAGGGGGGTGCTTGGCTGCCTCAGTGAGGTGAGAGAGGGAGCGCCTCCAGCCACCCTGCCTGCCTGGCAGCCCCTTGGCAGCTCCTGCCAGGGCTTCCTCCGCTTTTTGCCTGCACTTCCTGCTCTGGCACGTTCCTGCTTCCATGGAACATTAGGCGCCAGCTCCTTCCTCCTCCTGGGCATCCGGTTTCCCAGGAGCCACAGTTCCTTTCCTCTCAGCCAGACCCTCCCTGCTGCTGCTAAAGTCCTGCAGGAGGTCCAAGTCATGGCAATCTGGCTGGAGAGGAAACGCACAGCTTGTAGCACCCTGGAGGATTGCCTTGGTGGTGGTGGTGGGGTGAGTTTGAGATCTTCTGCAAACATTCTGAAATGTTTGGCGAAAGAAAGGGGGTGGGAGAAATGCAGAAATAAAAGGGAGAAGAAAAAGAATCCACTTGCCATGGAAATGATCACCGCCGTGATCAGGAAGATCTCTGCACACACGCAGGGATCTTTTGAAATACATATTCACATTTTGCACACTTATGCAAAGACACGCAGCCGTGTTGAATTTTGCTGAGATGCAAGTTCTGCTCATCCCCCCCCCAATAGCCAGTAAAACAAAACAGTCCAGTGGCACCTTTAAGACCAAGTTCTATAAAGGAACCAGCTCTGGCTTCTCTGTCAGGGCAGATCTGCTCATCCCCCCCCCAATAGCCAGTAAAACAAAACAGTCCAGTGGCACCTTTAAGACCAAGTTCTATAAAGGAACCAGCTCTGGCTTCTCTGTCAGGGCAGATCTGCTCATCCCCCCCCCAATAGCCAGTAAAACAAAACAGTCCAGTGGCACCTTTAAGACCAAGTTCTATAAAGGAACCAGCTCTGGCTTCTCTGTCAGGGCAGATCTGCTCATCCCCCCCCCAATAGCCAGTAAAACAAAACAGTCCAGTGGCACCTTTAAGACCAAGTTCTATAAAGGAACCAGCTCTGGCTTCTCTGTCAGGGCAGATCTGCTCATCCCCCCCCCAATAGCCAGTAAAACAAAACAGTCCAGTGGCACCTTTAAGACCAAGTTCTATAAAGGAACCAGCTCTGGCTTCTCTGTCAGGGCAGATCTGCTCATCCCCCCCCCAATAGCCAGTAAAACAAAACAGTCCAGTGGCACCTTTAAGACCAAGTTCTATAAAGGAACCAGCTCTGGCTTCTCTGTCAGGGCAGATCTGCTCATCCCCCCCCCAATAGCCAGTAAAACAAAACAGTCCAGTGGCACCTTTAAGACCAAGTTCTATAAAGGAACCAGCTCTGGCTTCTCTGTCAGGGCAGATCTGCTCATCCCCCCCCCAATAGCCAGTAAAACAAAACAGTCCAGTGGCACCTTTAAGACCAAGTTCTATAAAGGAACCAGCTCTGGCTTCTCTGTCAGGGCAGATCTGCTCATCCCCCCCCCAATAGCCAGTAAAACAAAACAGTCCAGTGGCACCTTTAAGACCAAGTTCTATAAAGGAACCAGCTCTGGCTTCTCTGTCAGGGCAGATCTGCTCATCCCCCCCCCAATAGCCAGTAAAACAAAACAGTCCAGTGGCACCTTTAAGACCAAGTTCTATAAAGGAACCAGCTCTGGCTTCTCTGTCAGGGCAGATCTGCTCATCCCCCCCCCAATAGCCAGTAAAACAAAACAGTCCAGTGGCACCTTTAAGACCAAGTTCTATAAAGGAACCAGCTCTGGCTTCTCTGTCAGGGCAGATCTGCTCATCCCCCCCCCAATAGCCAGTAAAACAAAACAGTCCAGTGGCACCTTTAAGACCAAGTTCTATAAAGGAACCAGCTCTGGCTTCTCTGTCAGGGCAGATCTGCTCATCCCCCCCCCAATAGCCAGTAAAACAAAACAGTCCAGTGGCACCTTTAAGACCAAGTTCTATAAAGGAACCAGCTCTGGCTTCTCTGTCAGGGCAGATCTGCTCATCCCCCCCCCAATAGCCAGTAAAACAAAACAGTCCAGTGGCACCTTTAAGACCAAGTTCTATAAAGGAACCAGCTCTGGCTTCTCTGTCAGGGCAGATCTGCTCATCCCCCCCCCAATAGCCAGTAAAACAAAACAGTCCAGTGGCACCTTTAAGACCAAGTTCTATAAAGGAACCAGCTCTGGCTTCTCTGTCAGGGCAGATCTGCTCATCCCCCCCCCAATAGCCAGTAAAACAAAACAGTCCAGTGGCACCTTTAAGACCAAGTTCTATAAAGGAACCAGCTCTGGCTTCTCTGTCAGGGCAGATCTGCTCATCCCCCCCCCAATAGCCAGTAAAACAAAACAGTCCAGTGGCACCTTTAAGACCAAGTTCTATAAAGGAACCAGCTCTGGCTTCTCTGTCAGGGCAGATCTGCTCATCCCCCCCCCAATAGCCAGTAAAACAAAACAGTCCAGTGGCACCTTTAAGACCAAGTTCTATAAAGGAACCAGCTCTGGCTTCTCTGTCAGGGCAGATCTGCTCATCCCCCCCCCAATAGCCAGTAAAACAAAACAGTCCAGTGGCACCTTTAAGACCAAGTTCTATAAAGGAACCAGCTCTGGCTTCTCTGTCAGGGCAGATCTGCTCATCCCCCCCCCAATAGCCAGTAAAACAAAACAGTCCAGTGGCACCTTTAAGACCAAGTTCTATAAAGGAACCAGCTCTGGTTTCTCTGTCAGGGCAGATCTCCTCATCTCCCCCGACCGCCCACAGCACGCAATAGTAAACCAAAACAGTCCAGTGGCACCTTTAAGACCAAGTTCTATAAAGGAACCAGCTCTGGCTTCTCTGTCAGGGCAGATCTGCTCATCCCCCCCCCAATAGCCAGTAAAACAAAACAGTCCAGTGGCACCTTTAAGACCAAGTTCTATAAAGGAACCAGCTCTGGCTTCTCTGTCAGGGCAGATCTGCTCATCCCCCCCCCAATAGCCAGTAAACCAAAACAGTCCAGTGGCACCTTTAAAACCGAGTTTTATTCAGGTACAGGCTCTCCCTCCCCTGTGAGGGCAGATTTCTCTCCTCACCCCCAGCTATTAATCCAAAACAGTCCAGTGGAGCCGGAGCGGTGTGTGCTGTCTTCTGACACATGTCCTGTGGTGTCAGGGGGTGTGGCCTTCTGTCAGGGGGTGTGGCATATGCTAATGAGCTCCTGCAGCTCTTATTCTACGAAAAGACCCCTGCCCGGGGGCGACTGGTTCCAGTCACCCTTGCTCCTAGCACAGCAATGCCTCTGGCCCAGCCCCAGCCCCCCCCCGGAAAATTGGAAAGTCTACGCCCTTGGGGCCAGTCATCTGCTGCCGAGGACACCTACCCTCTCAAAGTCCTCGCCATTGAAGAGCCGCTGCGCGACACACTTCTCGGCCACCTGCACGGCCCTCAGGTTCTCCACCAAACTCCCCATGAAGATCTCCAGCAGCTGGGTGCCCGTCTCGTGGACTTCTTCCAGGGACGGCGTGGGCAGCTCGTCCAGGCTGGGGTTCAGGTAGGCGGCGGCCCGAAAGCCCCCTCGTCGCAGCGCGTCGTAGAACTCCAGGCACAAGCCCGGCGGGCGGCGAGGCGCGTCCTCCAAGGCTCTCAAGAGCTCGTCGGCCGCTGCTATGTTGCCCTGGTTGTCGCACACCGTTCGGACGTGCTCCTTCACTTCGCGGCTCAGGCAGGGCATGTAGTCCAGCACCTGCACCACCTGCAGGCCTCGCCTGATCTTCGGCCTGAAGCAGGAGACTAGGTAGAGGATGGTCTCGTCGCGGGAAGGGGCCGTGGCCATGCCGGGCGTTTGGCTCTTGGGCACGGTCGTGCGCGCCCTACCAGGAGGAGGAGAAGCCTTTTCGCCGCTCTAGGCGGGGATCGCTCCGGGAAAGGTCTCGCCCCGCTGCTGCTGCTGCTGCTGCTTCCACTCCGGCTGGCCGATCCTTTCTCTGTGCGAGGAGAACGGAAACGTTGTCCCCCAAAAGGCTCCGAAATCGTTTTCTCGAGTTTACCCTCCTGGAGGACAGGACACCGGAGCCAGGCTGAGAGACTTCGGCTTCGGGCGTGTATTTAAACCCAGCCGTTTCGGTTTCTATTCCTGCCTGCCTAGGCGCGCTTGGTTTCCAAACGTCAAAGGCGCTGAGTCAGCTTCGCCCGCTTGAGTTCCTAGAGCGCCTTCCCGGGTTCACCGCATAGAAGTCCTACAGTTTGTACAAATACAAAAGGACGTTGTAGGGGAACCCCGTTATACCAGCTGGGCTCAAATTGGTTTTGTCCTCACAGCATTTTGACACACGGGGAAAAGTTTTCTGCAGTTTGGAAACCGGAGCCGGGGGTGTTGCGGACAGGGCGCTGGGTGTAAAACAGCGCTTTCACGCAGGCATGCCTTGCCTTTTGAAAGTTGAAACCAAGTCGCAGAAATGTCCCAGGCCAGAGTTCGCAACCCTAATATGTCTTTGGGAGCTTGCTGGTCCACATTTCCGGGGGGAAATGAGTTATTTGCCAATTGTGGGAGGGTTTGCCAAACCTGATTCAATAACCATGAGGGCGGTTTTGCCATCTTTAGCTTAGCTATTAAAATATGGTGCTTCAGATACAACTTGTTTAATGTTGGTTAAAGCAGTACACAACCCAATTCCAAACCTGCTTGCTTGAGAGAAAACCCCACTCAGTTCAGTGGGATGTATTTCATAGCAGGTGAGCCTGCATTGCAGCTATAGATGCCAGTCTCCAGGTGGGATCTGGAGAACCACCAGAATTACAATTCATCTCCAGACTACAAAAATCAGTCCCCCTGAAGAATATGGATGTTTTGGAGGAGAAAATGGATGCTGTGGTATTGTACCCCACTGAAGTCCCTGTCCTCCCCAGGCTCCATCCCCAAATCTCCAGGAGTTTCTCAACCTGGATCTGGCAAGCCTTCCCCACAATCTCCCACTGGAGGCCAGGGGGGACCCTGGCGACTCTAGTTGCAGCCAATGTTCCCACCAAAGTCTTCACAAACCCACCGAAAGTAATCCAAACTGGTTTTAAAATACATTTAATTTTTTTTTCTGCTGTCAAGTTACAGCTGACATGGCGACCCTGTAGGGTTTTCAAGGTAAGAGATATTGAAAGGCAGTTTGCCATTGCTTGCCTCCATGTTTTGGTATTCCTTGGAGGGAATCCTTTTCAAATGCTAGCTGGGGCTGACCCTCCTGAGCTTCTGATGAGATTGGGCTAGCCTGGGCTATCCATCTCAAGATATATTTTAAACTACATCTTTTAAAATTACTAGCTCCAGTTTCTCCAGTTTTTCTCCCTGCTACGGTCTGCCTGGCAATGGCTCTCCTCCTTTCTCCAGGGTCAGAGGGTGGCACTGGGGGAGAGGATTTCTCCCCAATATCCATTGGATTGCGGCATCCCTCAGGGGGCGATCCTCTCCCTGATGCTGTTTAATATCTATATATGCCCCCTTGCCCAGTTAATCTGGGGGGTTGGGCTGGGGTGTCATCAATATGCTGATGACATCCAGCTCTATCTGTTAATGGACAGACAGCCAGACTCGGCCCCAGATATTTTGGGCAGGGCCTTGGAGGCTGTGGCTGGCTGGTTACAACAGAGTTGGCTGAAGTTAAATCCAGTAAAGATGGCGGTCCTGGTACCTGAGCCGTGGGGGACTATATGGAAATCCGGCTCCTAGCACTGGGTAGGGCGTCACTGACACCAACGCCAAGAGTTTGGAGCCTTGGGATGATACCGGACACCTTACTATTGATGGAGGCTCAGGTCACCACGGTTGCCAAGTCAGCTTTTTTCCATCTGTGGCAAGTACAGCAACTGGTTCCATACCTCTCCGCCCATGACTTAGCTACAGCGATCCATGCAAGATCACTTCCAGATTGGACTATTGCAACTTACTTTACGCAGGCCTACCCTTGTACCTGTCCCAGAAGTTGCACCTAGTGCAGAATACAGCAGCGTGCACGCTGATTGTGACATCTCCGTGGGTGCTCATTCAGCCACGGCTGCATCAACTGCATTGGTTGCCGACAGAATTCTGGATCTGTTTCAAGCTGTTGGTTTTAACCTCTAAGGCCCTTAGTGGCCAAAGACCAACATACCTGCAGGACCACCTCTCCCTATTTATTTATTTATTTATTTATTTATTTATTATCCTGCCCTCCCTGCTGAAGCAGGCTCAGGGCAGCTTACATAAAATTTATTAAACAGATAAAAAAAGAATCAATATAATATAATATAAAAACACAACATAAAGTGCTAGTACAGATCGTGTAGCGATGGTGAGGCATTAGCAGCATCAGCATAATACAAAGGTACAGTCGGATGGTATCTCAGTCTGGGTTGTATTGGCAGAAGGCATGCTATTGATGGTGGTATTAGTGTTAATTTGTTAGGTGCGGCTCACTAATCGAAGGTCTGGTGAAAGAGTTCTGTCTTACAGGGCCTGTGGAACTGTAATAGGTCCCACAGGCCCCTAATGTCTTCTAGGAGCTCATCCCACCAGTACGGAGCAGCCACTGAGAAAGGCCCTGGCCATCGTCCAAGCCAACCTGGCTTCTCTAGGACCCAGCAGGACCAAGCAATTTTGGGACCCTGATTGTAGTGCTCTCTGGGGAACATGTGGGGAAAGGTATGTAGGCCCCTGACCATAAAGGGCTTTAAAGGTGAGAACCAGAACCTTGAAGCGAATCTGGTATATGGGCAGCCAGTGCAGTGTTTTTAGCGCAGGCTGAATGTGCTCCCAACAACAGCCTGGCTGCCACATTCTGCACCAGCTACAGCTTCCAGATTTGGGACAAGGGCAGCCCCATGTAGAGAGCATTACAGTAATCTAATCTTGAGGTGACCATTGCATGGATAACTGTCGCCAAGTCATTGCGTTCGAGGAAGGGAACCGGCTGCCTAATCATCTGAAGATCATAGAAGGCTGACTTCGCAGTGGCTGCTACCTGGGCCTCCATCATTAGGGAGGCATCCAAGAGCACTTCCAAACTCCTAACCTCTGGCGCTGGCACCAACAGCACCCCATCGAAGGTCAGGAGTGGGATCCCTACCCACGGACCGCTCCGACTCACGCACAGGACCTCTGTCTTCGTTGGATTCAATTTCAATCAACTCAGTTTAAGCCAACCAGCTGACAGCATACTATGATGTATAGCAAGCAAGATGACAGCCAAGGTAAAGGTAGTCTATTAGATCATCTTGATCTGTGGTGACAGATGGAGTGTCATGTGACAAGTCACCAGAGCATAGGTTGCATCATCCTGACTACTGTCACCATGAGTCAGCACTTCAATCTGCTGAGACGTATATATTCAGTACAGTCTGTGTGTTCTTCATCACTCTTGTGAATTGGATTATATGCGAAGCACTTTGTCAGTTTGCCTGGAGAATTGGATACTGCAAGTGCTATATGGACTGTATGTATATATTGCTGTAAATAAACCACTGTAAATAGTTCAGCACTAGCCAACTCTGGATTGAGTCATTATTTGCGCTTCCAATACGCTGACACCAGCCACAACTTGCAATGCTAGGTCCAGATCTCCCAAACTAAAGTCAGACTGGCCGTCCAACAATGGATAGGGCTGGGTGTCATCCTCATATTGGTGACATCCCAGCCCATGCCACTGGGCAATCTGGGCAAGGAGGCACATATAGATGTTAAATAGCATCGGAGAAAGTACCGCCCCTTGGGGCACTCTGCAGACTAGTTGGTGCCTTCAGGACAGCTGTTTCCCAAAAGCCACCCTTTGTCCCCAACCCTGAAGGAACGAGGAGAGCCACTGCAAGGCAGACCCCTGAATCCCAGTGTCAGTTAGGTGGTGGATCAGTAGTTGGTGGTTGACCGTGTTGAATGCCGCTGACAGGTCCAACAACAGCAACACCACCAAACTGCCCCAATCCAGGTGCCTTCGGAGGTTGTCAGTGAGGGTGACCACTGTCATCTCCATCCCATGTTCTGGTCAGAAGCCGGAATGGATCTAATGTGGAGGTGTCATCCAAAAAACCCTGCAACTGAGTTGCCACTGCCCTCTCAATTAGCCAATTTGGCTGGATCCAAGGATGGGGTTTTTTTAGAATAGGGCATGCCACTGCCTCCTTGAGCACCCTAGAGAACAGTCCCTCGGAGACTTGTTGATGATTTCCCTTAGGGTACCTCGTAGCCCATCGCAACCGGCTTTAATTAGCCACGATGAGTATGAATCAAGGCTGCAAGTGGTTGGGTGTACAGTTGAGAGAAGTTTGTCAACCTCTTCTAGGCCGAGTGGACTGAAATAATCCAAAACCTGACAAGAAGATGTGTATGGAACCTTGAGTTCCCTCACTGTCTTAACTGTGGCGGGAAGGTCATGGCGGAACAACAAGATGTTATCTGCGAAATAGCTTGCAAAAGCCTCACAGCTGATTTCCAATTCCTCAGCATTTGGTCTGCCTTGTGGCAGAGTAGTAATGGACCAAATTGTTCTAAATCATTGGGCTGGGTGAGAGATCGCAGACGCAATTGTGGCCGCATAATACTCTTTCTTAGTGGCTTTTAAAAGAAGTCTTATTAGTTTATATATAGAAAGGGGGAAAGAGATTGAAAAAGGGACAAGACAAGGCTGTCCAATATCTCCATTTTTGTTTATCTTAATGTTGGAAGTGCTGACAAGAATTATTACAGAAGACTCTCGTATTAAAGGGGCATCAATAAGAGGAAATAAATATAAATTACAAGCCTTTGCTGATGATTTGGTATTTATCTTAGAAGATCCAATGGACTTGGTACAACAACTAATGAATCGGATTAATTAATATGGGAAAATGGTGGGAATGAAAATAAATTATCAGAAGACGAAAATGATCACAAAAAACATGACATCGAAACAGATGTGAAATAGCAGAACTAACTGGATTTCAACTGGAAAAGAAAGTCAAATACTTGGGTATTAATATTGCAGCAAAATGTTGCTCTCTGATGAAAGATAACTATAATAAATTGTTACAAGACATTAAAAAAAATTAAAGAAATGGACAACGCTCCAAGTATCACTAATGGGTAGAACAGCAATTTTGAAAATGAATATTCTACCATGTTTTATGTTTTTATTCCAGACCCTGCCAATATATATTAAACAAAACTTTTTTGACTAATTGAATAAACTGACACAACACTTTATATGGCAAGGGAAAAAACCATGAATTAAATTGAAAGCCT